GCTTTTGCCGCTGAGCTAAATCCCCAGCCCCATGTAAGTTATTCTCAACGGGAAAAATTTTTATTGTAGAAAGTATCGTTTGTTTCCAGGGAAAGATAATCACCGCAAAGGAAGCTTGTTCAATCACTTTAAACCCTTCTGTCATTTCCTTCTCAATTACATTAAAAGGCCCGGTTGATCATTACCTAACAACTACATTCTTGATAATCTACTGTAACAACAGAAATATGGCAAGATGAAACCTTTTAGATAATCAATGAAGATATGAAATCAGAAACAAATGAGATTCAACAAAGATTAAGTCGAAAAAGTCAAGTTCATCACTGTCATCATCACCTCCCCAAAAACAGCCCGGCGTGGTAGTGCACACCTGTAATCACCTGCAGCACTCAGGAGGCTGAGGCAGGAGGATCTCCACATCAAGGCCAGTCTGGACTGTATAGTGAGACCCTATCTCAGGGAAAAAAAGAAAATAGCAGCAACAACTGCAGCATTTACTGAGCTCCTGAACTCTGACAAAGTGCTGGACAATCCTCTAAACCCTTCCAAAGTAACTTTCATTTGATCCCAAGTTAAAGTCACATGGGAGCATTGAGGACAACTTGTCCAGAGGCTGGAAAGGAGGTATCAGAGGTCTGGTTCAACACTCTGGGGTACTACCTGCTTCCTTTCCCAGTGTGGGACTGCAAGAGCCAGGAGAGGCCAACGCTTGTGAACATCACGCTCAGTGACAGTCCCAGGCACGCTCTGGCTGCCCTCGCTCTGGGGATCACTGGAGTTTGTCAAGTTCTGTACTCTGTTGTTACAGGGACCAGCAGCAACTTACAGAGTACGTCTGCATACCCTTTCTTACCCACCTACAGCGCTCCAGAAGCAAAACAAGTAGACTGCATCATTATTACCGCTACCATGGATGATGACACTCAGACACGGGTAGGTTATGAAACACATATGGCTACAAAAACCATAATCTTAAGGATCCTGGGGTGGCGGGGACCATGGGATCACAAAATTACATCAACATGTACGCCACTGTCACAGCAGCACCACAAACAGTACCAAAAAAACTAAAAGCAATTCTGATGGCGATACAATGTGTCACATATATTCAATGAACCTTTAGTCAGCATTAAAAAGGGAGAAACAAAATTCTGACAAATAGTATGACACAGGTGAACCTTGAAGACATGCTAGGTAAAATAAGGCAGTGACGAAAGGCCAAATATTGCACGGGTCCACCTGTATGAGGCACTAGAGCAGTGAATTCGGAGACAGAAAGTGCAATGGCAATGCTGGACATGGGGGTGGGAGTGAAAACAGTGTTCAGTAGGTGCCAAGCTTCAGTCAGGGAACAGGAAGTTCTCAAAGAGAAAGTGCAGATGATTACCGCACGCTATAAATCCACCTAATGTACACTGTACCACAAACTTTTAAAAAGTACACCCCTTGCTTATACCGTTCTACAGTTCACGTTCTTCAGACTCTGTACGTGCAGCTCTGGTGGTAGAAGCCGAGTACCCCTTATCTGAAGGTCTCAGGACCCTGGAAGGGTTCTGAACTTGGGTTTGTTCGGACCTGTTCGCTCTTTCTATGCGTACATCACAAAGCCACTTGCGGGAGATTGCCGGATTAGCAGTTGTGAAAAAAAGAGTAAGAGCTAATTAACTAGCAGATGTGTGAGCGCATCCAGGCAAAATGAACTGAACACGTGAAGACCCTGTGGGAGAAAGCAGACCACAGAAGCACAGGACAGAGACAGCTTGCTTGGAATCGAAGGGCACAGTATGCGAACAAAGGCTCCGAAGAGTACATGCCAAACCCTGTCATGTGGCTAAATAAAGATCAGGGTTTGTACCCTAAAGTAGGAGATACCACAAGCACAGTTGTTTTTTGGGGGGGGCAGGTGAGACAGGGTCTTGCTATGTAGTTCAGTTTGACCCTGAACTCACTATATATCACAGGCTGACCTTGAACCCCTGGCAATCCTCCTGTCTCAGCCTTAGGGCTGGGTTTACAGGTGTGTACCACCACACCTGTTCAGAGTTACATTTTAAAAAGAATAGACATAATACAGAACTGGAGATGTTCCAAGATGTGCCTTCTATCCTGCTGAGATTCATTAGGGAATCTCAGTTCCTTGGCCTGACTTTGTCAAGCAATTTATTTCACTGTTCTATGTGTTGAGCTCATCACCTGTACAACAGTCTATGCTAGATTTCTAAGGCTCCAAACAATGGAAAAACCTCTTTTCCTTTAATTGTACACCCACAATGATTTAATGCTCAGAGTCCTGTCAAAAAAGAAAAGCCAGCACCCCAACTTCTCCAGGATGGAGGCTTTGCTCCCATAGTAGCAGGGCACTAACGATGCTCATGACACTCCACTCCAACCACGAAGTGCAGGCCCTCCCCCGGCCAACACTGCCGATTCACAGGGGAAAGCCGGCTCCGACTCAGTCAGGCTCTACACGTGCGGGCGCAGCCAGAGCCATCTCAGTGTGTGACCGCGCTCTGTGATGATCACCCAACAACAAAAGGGCCTAACAACACACTTGTCACTAAGCAAGGCCCAACTGTGTGACTTACTAACCAGTTCAGGGTTTCTTTTATCCTAGAGCAGTGGTGGCGTTTCTATGCTGCACGGGTTATTCGTTTTTGTTTTATGACAAAAGATGTTAACGTATGAGTTGTTTTTTCTAAGCTAAAACTTCGGTATTCTGGTTTAATCACAGGGTTGGCACTTTGCAATAAATGAGTGGGTTTTGGGTTGTAGTCTGGGCACTTGTTCCAAAAACATTCGCCATCACTGTCCTAGGGAACGTAGACTCCTACAGAGGGGGACACAGATGGAGAGGGGTTAATGTAGACACTGTAAATTGATTTTTCTCCCGTGCATAGTACAAAATATACTTCTTTTAATGAAACAAGGATCAAATCTATAAAGACTCTAAGGTTTCAATGTTTTTCACAACTACAAATCTTACACAGATGAGCAGTATTTGAAATTCATAGTTCACAACAGACCTCAAAGTGAGGAAGTTAGAACTAATGATGTGCAAATTACCTGTTCCCAAAATACTGTTGGTGATTTGACAAGTGCCATAAGGTTTCTGGGCTAAACAAATGTTGGATTAGGAATGCTAAAAGCCCATGCAGTTCTTTCAGTAGAAGTCACAAGGAAAATCACCTGAGAAAGGCTGCCAGGGTTCCAGCAGTGTCAGGCCATGCCCTCTGCAGTAGGATGCCTTCACAAGCTGTTCGTCAGCCAGGTGTGTTGGCACATGCCTGTAATCCCAGCACTCAGAAGGCTGAGGTGGGAGAACTGCTGTGAGTTCTAGGCCAGCCTGAGCTACAGAGCAAGACCTAGTCTCAAAAATATTTTTAAAGAAAATTTTTAAATGCTCCTGGTCACCTACTGCTATAAAGTGCTAAGCTCACACTCTTGTTTCTATATAGAAATACCCTTCCAGTGGTAAACGACCCAAATATAAACCTATTTTGGAACTCCTACAGAAAGGATTAATGTAGCAATAGAGAAAACAAGACTTCTAAACAAGAACTCTATTCTTTGAGAAAGGACAAACAAAGAAGTTCGATAATAGCTCCAGACTACTAATGCTTTCATCACAATCTGCAGTGGTACAAAATATACACTCTAATACACAAAAAAACACAAGGTATTTGGTATAAAAAATCATGACATGCACTTCAGTATGCACTTTTCATTATCAGTGTGGAAAGTGTCTCAAATGGAATATAATCACAAGGCAATAAAACCCACCACCATACTCCAACCCCACCAGAAAACAAAATTGAAACTTTCTGTTATATGGAATGAGTACTGCTCAAATAGCTTAACCTCATCAAAGCTCCGTGTTCTCTGTCAAACAAGCACTCCACTAGGCCTCCCACAAAACACCACAGAGACCAAATACATTAAATAATTTCCACTGACCCACAGGTCTGCTTTTGTGAAGTACAGAGAAAGAAAAAAGAGCCAACACAATATGCAGCAGAGCTGGCAGAGTGGTAAGGACCACAGGGAGGAAGGGAAGCATCAACCGACCGCCCAGGGAAAAAGCAAACAGATTTAGAAGACAACTACCGTAGTGGCATCAAATGAGAACAGAGAATCTCTTTCTAATCTAAACACAAAAACCTTAAACACCAACATTTTAAACACTGATACACAACAGAATAACTACAATACCAATAGTTTAAAACCTGACTGCTTGGACATGAAAGTAAAACATTACGATGCTCTAACTAGGTGAGCACACAGATACAGACGATGTGTAGACCATAAGCACGCATACGAAAGCAGGCGGGTCGAGGTGAACCGAATGCCCCCTACGTTGCTTTTATCCCCTTTACACCTACTCATGAAACAGTCATTCTTATCTGTCTCACCTCACAAAAATAAGTGACTTAGGAACCCAGTTAACCAACTATTCAACACAAATCAACCAGGTAATCAGCTGGGCTCAGACCCACAAAGATCTCAAGTCCATTAATACTGCTATAATGGTTAGCTGTTCCTTCTTTATATTTTGTTTTTGGAGACGGGGTCTTTTTGTGTATTCACATTGGCCTTGAACTTATGGTGATCCTCTTTCCTCAGCTTCCACATCCAGCTGTGATGGTTTTTAATTGAACAAGTAGCAAAATCAAAACCTCAAAATTTCTAAACCCATCTTACCAAGGTGATGTCTCGGGAAGCAGCAGCTGCGCTCATGTGCAGGCTCGGCTGCCTCACGGAACTGCTGCAATCAAGGGCTCGAGCAAAGGTCCCCACGGCACTGAAGAAGCCAAACACAGACAGAGAAGAGACATTAAGCTTGCCATTTTCTTGTTTTAAAAAACTTTGAGTACTGAATGAAAAACTGAGAAAGAAAAGCAAAACAAGATGTCGAATGTTTGAGAATCAAATGAGAAGTATTTTTTTCTGCAAGAGATAAGGGTTGAACAATCATAACCTGAAAATCAAAAGTGTTCCAAAACGTAAAACTCTGCTGACAGGATGCAAGTGGAAAATTCCACGTCCTGAAGCTTTGGTTCATGTACAAAATTACTGAAAACATCTGCAAAAGTCACCTTCAGCTACATGAACAGGCTATGTATGAAACATAAACAGTTTCCTTATTTAGCCTGAAGGTATCTATGTATATGCACATTTTCCAAAGTCCAAAGACTGAAATCTGAAACACTTCTGGTCCCAAGCATTTTAGAGGAGGGACACGATCCTGTAACTGATAAGTCAATTTACTACCTATAACTAAATCAAGAAAAAATAACCTATATGGACTTAAAGGAGGAAGGGAAGACCTATTATAAAATGCCACTGAATAAATCATTCAGTAATCAGATTTTGCTCAAAAAACTGCAAGTTATGACCCCCTTTCCCTAATTATGAAATCCCAATAACACCATTTTCCTTAGCATGAGATAGCATTAATTAGCAACCCTTCTTAAGAGCACTCATTATATAATAGACTTCTATTAAATCCCATTTTAAAAGGAAGGCAATTTATACAACGCTAATTCTCATTTACAGCATTTCAAAGGCCTTCCTGTTACGAGGAGCAGCACCTCACCCTCAAGAGGCGCAGCGCATGAAGACGAGACTCGCTGCTTATTGTGTGCATCTTAGCTGAGGAGGTAATTTTAGCATTTTAATTAAAATAACATACACACAAAAAACTACCACCACCGAGTCCCAGAACACTCTCGTGTTCCTTCGCAATTTTTACTCAGCTTCCCTCTCAACAGAAACCACTATTCTGGATTCTAACACCACATACTAGTTTTTCTCATATTAAAAAATATGTATTTTTTTTTGCTCACATAATACAGATACCATTTTCTAATGCTCAGCTTCCTTAGTTTAAAAATATGTTTGCAGAGTCATCCATGCTGTCAAATGGAGCTGTATTCATTTTCGTTGCTATGGGGCATTCTTTTCAGTACTCACTCTCCAGCCCCTCCTACACTGTTGACCAACATTATATGCTGTTTCCACAATGAACAATGCCACTAATGCCATCTCAGTACATACCTTCTGGTGACAGATGTATGCATTTCTATGGGTATAATTTTAAAAGTGAAACGTAAGGGATGTGCATTAAATGATAGTACAGTAGATGCCTGAAATTTGTGGGGGTTTCATTCCTACAGCACCAGTGAACTGCGAAAAAACTCAAATTTCAGATATGGTTAGAAAAATTGGCTACTTGCAAATGGTCTGCCAAAATAACAACTGTGGAGGGTATTTGCAGTTTCAGTAAAATTCTGGGGGGTTTCTGTGAACAATTATTAGTTAGATTCTAAGGAAAAATCTGAGGACTGCGGCCATGAACTCTGAACCACAATTTCATGGGGATACTGCCAAGCAGCTAAACCAGTTTATAGGCCCACAAGCTGGGTACGAGAATGCTGATTGTTCCATACCTTCATTACCCCTTGGCACTTTAAAATTTAGCCTTTCCAGAGTGGCACATGCCTATAATCCTAGCACTGGGGAGGCTGAAACAGAAAGATTGCCAAGAGTTTAAGGCCAGCTTGGGATACTGACCATGGTGGACAGTGAGGCTGGGGAGGACAGTGAGTTCAAGGCCAACCTGAATTACATAGGAAGATCCTGTCTCAAAACAACCCAAAGTAAATAAATAAATAAAAGTTGGCCTTGACCAAGCATGGTGCCACAGGCCTGTAATCCCAATACTTGGGAGGCTGAGGCAAGAGATCTCCAGGGGTTCAAGTTCAGCCTAGGCTACATAGTGAGTTCAAAGTCAGCCTGAACTATATAGTGAAACCTGTGTCCAAAAACAAAACCAACAAACTGGTCTTAATTTGTATTTACAAGATTATGTTTTAAAACAAATACTGGGGGAAAAAATACAAGATGTATACCTTACAACCCTCATTCTAGCTTCAAGGGAAAAGAAAATATATCCTTGGCAATCACAAAAAAAAAAAACCAACAGAATGCAAATTAAATTTGAAAACTTCAATATCCCTAAACAATCCATAATTCAGAAACCTTTTTTTGGAGTCTGGGCCAGGGGTTCCTCCTGTGATTTATTTCTATTCCTGAATCTTCAGAAAACAAAATTCTGCCTCATTCATTCTCTCGAGCCGAGAGCAGAAGCTAGGCAGGCTGAGCGCTCTCGCAGGCGGGCTCCTGGCCATCAGCCCACAGCATGGGGCTTAATCCGGTCACTTGGTCGCTGACACGGGGCCTCTCGCCGTGGAACTCCTGCTACCTAGCTGGTATGGCCTTCCACAGGGACTGCCTCTATAAATGGGGCTGTCCAAGGATCAGTTAAGACTGTTTTTCCCTTTGTATTATTAAGTAGGCTCACTAGAAAAATCAGAATATTCTAATTAAGACCTCTTCACCCACTGCCCTGATCTAACTGACTGTAACATTTTGCCACGCCTGATGATGGATGGGGGGCTTGTCTCAGTACATAGTCCAGGCTGGCCTTGAACTTGTAGCAGTCCTCCTTACCTCTGTCTTCAGGGTACTGAGATTACAAGCTTGAGCCACTACATCCTGCCCTGGTGCATTTCTAAAGTATGAAACTATCAATTTAATCAGAGCCCCAATATATACATACATACATACATATATACAAGATTAAATATTCATGAATGTCATTTTATAAACATATGTCCATTAATGATAAAGCACTGTTTTACACAATGTAAAACTTTCTAAATGATCACATTTTATGCACATAAATCATACTGTATGTACCTTCACTGAGCAATACTTCGAAGATTTATCTCTTTGCTACACAGAGCTCTAATCTATTCATTTTAATTGCTGTAAAGTAATATCCCACTGTGTGAGTACAACCAATTCTGTCATCAACGGCTTCCTGAAGCATTTTTCGTTTGTTTGTTTGTTTGTTTTTTTCCCAATTTATCCACCATTATGTTATGATAACCTCACTTGCATTCTGCTTTGTGGCACTTTTCCCCATGAGAATGATTTACTCTTACTATCGAAAATATAAAAATAAAATTCCCATTCATTTTCATAAGAAAAGAGGAGCAAGGAAAAAAGTCAGGCTGAACACTCTCAAAGAAAAGCCCCAGGCTTAGCATGAGGCCTTATACATGTGTGAAAAGAATCTAACTTGCACATTTCTGCTGGTACATTTAGTCTAGGAAAGCCCTGTCCAAAGTAAAGGAAATCATTCAATACATGGCATTTGAGATGTAGAATTTCTTCATTATATATTTCTGTTTTCAAAAGGCTGAAGCAAAAGGATTATGATTTCAAGGCCAGCCTGGGCTACAAAGTAAGTTCAAGGTCGGGGCTGGGGATTTAGCTCAGCGGCACGGCACCTGCCTGGCAAGCGCAAGGTCGTGAGTTCGGTTCCCGGTATGGGGAACGGGACACGGACGACAAAGTAAGTTCAAGGTCAACCTGGCTGCAGAGTAACCCTGCCTCAAGACAACGAAACAAGTCAAGAGAATGAGGCAGGATGATGGCTGCAAGTTCGAGTGCCAGCCTGGGCTACATGAGTTCAAGGTTAGCCTGAACTACAAAGTGAAAAAACTTCTGTTGCTTTCAGTATTTGGTAAAAATGAAATCTATTTTCGGGGGCTGGGGATTTAGCTCAGCGGCACAGCACCTGCCTAGCAAGCGTGAGGTCGTGAATTCGATTCCCAGTACCAGAAAAACACCAAAAACAAACAAACAAACAAAAAAAAAAACAACAAAGAAATCTATTTTCATTTAAAACTGAGCCAGGCCAGGTGTGGTGGCACACACCTGTAATCTCAGCACTTGGGAAGCTGAGGCAGGAGGATCATTGCGAGTTTGAGGCCAGCCTGGGCTACAAAACAAGCTCAAGGCCAGCCTGAAGTGCGTAGACAGACCCTGTCTCAAAAAGACAAAAAAAAATAAGAAGCAAAAAAAAAAAGATACACTGATATCGATAACATTCTATTTTTAGGAGGTGATGTGACATATTTAGCTTTCTTTCATAACTAGAAAAAGAATAATACAACCAAGCCAGGGGCTGACTACAAAGAATGAAATATATATATATATAACCTATAAATTATATCATAAAAAGAAGTATCTCTTGATTCACTAATTCCATACTTACCGTGCTACAACTAAAAACTGGTCAATTTGTCGGTCCGTAAGCGGGCTATTTGGATCCCAAACTTTAACCTCCAATTTCGACTGTTCCCTCTCATCTGATTCTCCTGCCCAAGAATAAAGGAAATGGGATACTGTTACACAAAGCACACTGTCACATACAGCTGATGACTATGGTCTCCACAGGACTGTAAATGCTTTAACAGAAGGTAAACAGTCATAGCTTTGGTGCATTCGTTTGGACAGCAGATATACAAACATCTGGTAAAATGAATGCAGATGATAATACAAAAACCAACGAGATAGTACCCACATTAGCACGAATGTCCTGAGTACCTGTGTGTGTGAGGCACAAAGCTCCACGCCAAGGAGCAAGAGATGAAATAGCAACCCCGCCACAAGACACTCCAACCACAGTAAAATGTAAGTATCAATGTATTTGATACAAAAGAGATGTCAAAGAAACGTTATAAATATGGTTGTAAGAATCCAAAGATTACATAAGTAATTTCAGGTTAGCTAGGAAACAACACCATGAAGGAAGCAGCAGCATTTCTACTAAGAACTGATGATTATGAGCCTGGCCCGAGGGTGCACTCCTGTAACCCCCGATACACAGGAAACCAAGGCAGGAGGACCAAAAGTTGAAAGCCTCATGGGCAACGCAAGGAGGCCTTGTCTCAAAATAAAAAAGGCTGGGAATGGAGCTCAGCATTACAGCTCTTGCCTAGAACATGTGAGGCCCAGGATTCATCCCCCAGCACCACCAACAAAGAAAAACAAAAACAGAAGGTATGAACATACTACCATGAAAAGAGGACTTAAAAATGAAACTATGACCAAAATCACACGGTATTACAATGGGCCAGAGAGAAAAGCAGCACATTTTGTCTGGAGGACACAAAGGGTGTGAGAAGAGATCACTAAGAGAAAAGGGGATCTGAACATATTACTGAAGATTCTGCATAGGTTTTCTTTTCTTCTAATTTTATTTATTGTTTTAAAAGACAGCATCTCAAGAAGTTGCCCAGGCTGGCCGTGAACTAATGATCCACCTGCCTCAGCTTCCCAAGTAGTTAGGATAACAGAAACATACCACCATGCCCAACTCACTGTGTACTGATTTTGTGAACAGATTTTATTTGGAGGTAATGAGAAGCCCCGGTTTTTTGCATAAGGGAGTTAACCAGACCAAGGTAAAAACTCACACCTGACACCTGATTTGCTCCACAGAGATACCTAATGAAATCAGAAGATGAAGCTCTTCCAAGAGCTCCTCTTGGAAGTAATGAGGGGCTGCAAGGTAACAGTGGCAATAGAGCAAAGAAAAAAGATTCAGGAATCCCAGCGACACAGGAGTTGTACAGGGCAGATTTTTGTGAGCTGTATCAATAGAGTGGCATTAACACAAAGAAAGAACTCAAACAGAAGGGGAGGGCCAAGGCAGGACCCCAGAATGCAGGCTGCCCTGTTCAGCACATCTCACAAGCAAGGACAACCACTGTGGGCAGGACTGCCCACACAACAAAAGACAGTAATTGAAAACAGACTTGTGGGTCAACTGGAATTCTATTTTATAGCTATGGGTTCTACGAGGCTAGGAGCTCCCCGACAGGAGTAACTGGTTTGAGATTTGTTTTGGTTCTTTTTTTTTTTTTTTTTTAATTTTAAAAATAAAAGGAGGAAAACATTAACAGACAGACAACCTTTTACAAAATAGCAAAAGAACAGTACAGACAATACAGAGGTGCAAACAAAGTGGTAGGAAATTAACAATGCTTGTTGCATTACATACTGATATCTTCAAAGTGGTTTCTCATGAAAACAGATAGAGGCATACAATACTGATCCACCAAGGACTCACTGACAGTTTCTTTCAGCAAAGAAATAGAAGACAGGCCAGAAACCATGTTAACTATCTTGTATATACATACATACAAAATTTCTCCTTCTTTCCCTTCTCTTTTCCCACATCCCAGTTGCCCTTTACCCTTGAGTGCTTTCTTATCATTTCACAATGTCTATCATACCTCGTAGTTTAAATTAACTCTTTCAGGTTTTACACTAGTGAAACAATGTGGTGCTTGCACATGTATGTTTGATTTATTTCACTTATGAGTATGGTCTCTAGTTGTGACCATTTATCTATAAAACCCTCGAGTTTATCTTTCTTTACAGCTGAGTAATATTCCATTATATAAACGTACCACAAGATTTGTTTTGGTTCTGATCACTGCCTCTGTTAATACCAGAGAGGATGCTTCATACTGAGGAACATCACAAAAAATTCCCTGACTGACAAACCCAGGCTATGGGACTCATGGTGGAGGAGCATGTAGCAGAGAGGATAGAATTAGGTCCAACCCACCTGCAGCCCCCAAGTTACCCAGTGCTATCAAGGCTGACCAGTTGCTCAAAGGCAGGGAAGGCGGGCAGTGGAGGGCCAGCTGCCATTCCCAACCCAAAACAGCACAAGCGGGGAGCAGTACCTAACAAATGCGAAAGGATTTCAATTTCATATCTTTGTTTACCATTACACTCTTTGTATCTTAGTAAAAATATATTTTCCATAAGATAATAAAGGTGAGAAAGGTAATAATGATAAAAATAACTATACAGTGGCTGGGAGTATTGCTCATTGGTATAGAACTTATACATGAGGTCCTTGCTTCAATCTCAAACCCAGGGAAAAAACAGGAAAATAAATGTTAGGCCGCGAATATAGCTCAGTAGCACAAGGGCCTGCCTGGCAAGCACAAGGCCCTGAGTTCAATGCCCAGTATCACACACACACACACACACACACACACACACACCAGAAAATAAATGTATCTTTCATAAATAAATAAATCTTCTTAAGTAATGGATGACATACTGCTAGTCAGGGCATACTTTAGCCACTTCTGTTATATTGTGCAGAATTTAAGAGTAAGGCTGCTATTTACTATTCAAATTTGAGATGACTGCTGAACAAGGACTCAGAGAACATGAGAATGCAAACTAAGCCCAAGGAGTCAGAGGTCATGTGGACTGGGGACATGAGAGCCCTTTGGAAGCTGTAAACCAGGAGGACCTTGTGCAATACCTGCGGAGACTCCCTGGAAGCCATTCTTCTCTTGACAGTACAGGCTGTGGTGGAGCTCTGGAGAGGTCTGCAGCAAGATTCCTGCTGCCTGTGCTGACAGTTGGGAAGAGGACACTAACTGGTTGTAGGGTCCCAATGCGATGGGAGGCTGGAGAGAAAAAGCTACAAAAAATGGCTTTCACCCCACATGGCTCACTTGAGATGTTAGTAAGAATTGCCTCCTCAGTACTCCATAGCCATGATGAGGAGGCGGCCAAGGAGAGAAAAC